ACGCCAGGTTGAGAGCAGCTTCCGTGAAGACCTCCGAATTATGAAATGCCCTCCGTGGGACTCGATCCCGCGATCACAAGGTTAAGAGTCTTGTGCTCTACCAACTGAACTTTTTTTTATATAATTTTATCATATCTTATTCAGCAAATTAACACTCAACTCCAACAATTGTCAAATTTTTAATGAAAAATAATGAGTTTTGAATCTATGAATAATCTGATTACCATTTTAAAGCTTTTTTTTATAGTGAAACTCAACAAAATAGAACCCTATAGTTGAAATATTATTTTATAATTTTTAATAATCAATGGACTTAAAAAAGTAATTTATTATAGTCAAGATTATTTGTGTACTCTACCAAAAAAAACTCATTCAAACTTGTTATAGGAAACATATTATTCAAATACTTATTTATATTCATTCTAAGTTTATGAAAAAAGCAAAAAAACGATCGGCAGTCACAACCTTATTCCCATTAACGGAAGGTCCAAAAAATACGAAGCATCACTTCACCGGTCACCGTTTTATTCGGTTAAATATGAGTGCAAAATCTCCCTCCTTTTCTTTCACGTGAGCAATAAAAAAGTGCTAAACAATAAAAAGAAAAAGAAAGTGAGATAAATATTACTATTAATTAGAAATATTTAGAGGTTAGTTAATATTAAATAAAAATTCAGTAATAGATTTTGTAAGAGTTGATGATTGATAGAGAACTATTAATAAAAGTAAACAATCACATTTAATTTATTGATTAAGATGTTAATCTTTGTTCAATAGTATTAGTTTTGACTTAATATTTTGTTACTTTTTATATTATTTTAGTCTTATATGATTATATAAAATATAAAGCGTATTTTGATATTATAATATAATTATTGGTTTAGTAATTATATTATAGTATATTTATTAGGATTTTAATTATTTAGAAATATTTGACAAACATAATATAGTTACATTTTATTTTTTTGTATTACGTTTGGTTATATAAATTGTAAGTGTATACATGCTCATTTCTGAGATTTTAGTAGCCCAGGATGAATATATAAATTAGGCCTCTAATATCAAGTATTCAAAAAATAAATTAAAAAATAATTAAGTGAAATGTGAAAAAATAATTTAAAAATGAGCATCACTGTTAATTTTATAATGATGAGTAACAAAAAAAAGTAACGTTAAGTATTATTTTAAATAAAAATATAAATTCGATGGCCAAAATGAAAAAAAATAATAATAAATGAATGACTGAAAAAATAATTTATTCTTTTTAATTATCTATAAATTTATAATTTTTGTCAAATAGGGGCCCTGGGCGAGTGCCCCTTCTGTTCGTGCTCAGGGATGGGCTTGAGTGTATATTTATATAAAAACTAATTTTATAGTCTAAAAATATTTAAGTATTCAATAATGAAATTATTAATAAAAATAAAATTACTAGCGTTGAAGAAATGGTTTATAAATGTATATAATAACATAAAATTCTAATGTATAGCGATAATAATAAGTAAATTATAAGTTGATGTTTTAAAGAATAATATATGTAAGAACTTCCTTTGTATGCAAATGAAAATTTAATAATTATATACAATTGTCATAATAAAAAAGGGTAAAGTTTTCTAAACCTTTCATTTAGGTACCCAAACTTTTAGAAATTGCAATACAGTCTCCCAACATTTAGTCCGTTTGCAATATGGTCTCCCAATAGTTACGTTGGGGACCATATTGCAAACAGACTAAATGTTAGGGGATCATATTGCAAACAGACTAAATGTTAGGGGATCATATTGAAAATGGACTAAATGTTGGGGGACTATATTGCAAGTTTTAAAAGTTGGGGGACCTAAATGAAAGCTTTAGAAAAGTTTAGTGATCATTACTATAATTTACTCTTAATTTATTTAAAATTTTATTTGTAATTTTACAATTCTTCAATCTTGTCCTTAAATTTATATTTTTTTTTACAAAATTGATCCATGATTTTTTTTTGTAATTTACTCGAAATCATATACAATTACAACTTGGAATTCAACAATCACGAAAGATGACAAAATAATTAATCCAAAATTAAAAACGACCCGACCTGAACTCAATTCGTATCTGGTAAACATCCGACATGAATTTTATCTATCAATGATGTGACCTAATCTGAACGAGATCCTACTGAAGTCCACCTGAACCTGAATTAAACTGATCTTTATTTGCTTCAGACCTGAACTGACATCGACCCGAACTAAAATGACCCGACTTGAACCCGATATGGATCTGGTGTTAATCAACCTGAAAATAACCCGAACTTATTTGACCTGTACCCGACGTGATCCGAGTTAAACCATCAAATTAACCTGACTTGACTTGTACCCGATTTTACCCGACCTGCCAGGATCCGACTGAAACCTAACAGATTACCTGATTTTACAGCCTTAACTGACAACTTCTTGAGTAGACACTCCACCACGCCGGGCTATTGAGGTCGCCCTCTAAGAACGAGGGTAAGGATTTTGTTTAGGTAAAATTATTGAATTATTACGTAATAAAGTTAATCACTAAGAAATTTTTAATCATTCAAATTATAATAGAATTTAATTTAATTATTAATTAAAATTTGAATAATCTAACAATAAATTATGTAATACTCTAATTATATTTATAACATAAAATATAAGATTAATTAATACTTGAATATGATATATTATAAAATAAAATATAAAATAAATAATAGGGTAAAATATAGTAATGGTCACTGAACTTTTCTAAAGCTTTCATTTAGGTCCCCCAACTTTTAAAACTTGCAGTACAGTCCCCAACGTAACTGTTGGGGGACCATATTGCAAACAAACTAAATATTGGGGGACCATATTGCAAATGAACTAAATGTTGGGGGACTGTATTGCAAGTTTTAAAAGTTGGGGGCCTAAATGAAAGCTTTAGAAAAGTTCAGTGACCATTACTATAATTTACCCTAAAAAAATATATAGCCATAAAACTATTGTTATTTATATATAACTTATGTAATTACACTAATTATCATTCCTTTTTTAAAAAATCTAAGAATATAATTATATGTCTTCAATTATACTACTTTTTAAATAAAAAAATATAACAAATTTTAAATATATCAAAATTATAGACCTACATCTACTTACAGTTGAATCCAATTAAAACGTAAGTTTCCAGTTGCATAACTAAAGATATTAAACTCAACGGGTGGAATCAATTAATTACCTCTGCCTATTGCCAGTTTGTTTTCTGCTCGATTGACAAACTATGTTATGCTATAATAAAATCATAATGACTAATAACACTGAATGTGCCTCTCTTTTAAACTACCACGATAAAATAAAAAAGGGTAAATTTGTGTTTAGTACCTTAACTATTAATTTTATTCCGTTTTAGTACATAAATTTTTAATATTTTAAAAATTATACCTAAAGCTTAGTTTTTGTTTCATTTTATTATCACTGTAAAAAATGTAACGTTAATTTGTGAAAATTTTGAAAGTTTAAGTATTAAAACAGATTAAAACTGATAGCTTAGATACTAAACGTGTTAAGTTTTTAACGACCGAGTCCTAAAATGGAACAAAAACTAAACTTTAGGTTTTTTTTTAAAAAAAAATAAAAAATAAGGTACTAAAACATATTAAAATTAGGTACTAAAACATATTAAAATTAATAGTTTAGATACTAAATGCATAATTTATCCATAAAAAATGAGGCTCGAATCTTCCAATATATATATATATATATATATATATGACCAAAAGTTAAATTTCTTTTTTTTTTCTTGGTTGGTCCTAATTCGAAGATTTCGTCTTGATTAATCTAAACCGACTCAGGTAACATACATAAATTTAATGAGTGAGTTTCCTAATAGAGATCTCGCTTAAGCGATATCAAACTGCTTATTATTTTAACCAACCACATTGGCAAAAGTTGAATTTATTTATGCTTGTGTTGATTTTATATTTTTAAATATCTGTTTCTTCATCCACGACGTGGTATCATTAAACTATGTGGTTGCTTATTTCGTATAACTTTAATAAATAATAAAACAAATTTTAATAAATGCGAACATTTTCCCAAGCATGTTAATTGTAACAAATGAGTTGCTTCCTCAAAATTGGGGAAAATATAACTTTTTTAATGCATACCGGTGCAAAATAATAACAATAATAATCGAACTACGGTAATTAAAGTAATTATTATTTTAAACAATGTGAAATGACCATCCAACTTAGTTGGTAGAACACAAGGTTCTTAACTTTGAGATTGTGGGATCGAGTCTCATGGAGTGCATTTCATAATTTGGAGGTCTCATACGGAAGCTGCTCTCAACCTAGTGTTGGGGACAACCTACTATCTTACCTCTCCCTTACCTCATTACATATGAGAACAAGGGACAACCATTATTTTAAACGATGTAATGTGTATCATATTATCGTTATTTGAAATGATATAACACATGTTACATTAATAATTAAAAGAAAAAGATATATTTTTTGATATAAAATTAAAATATTAAACTAATATGCTTAAAAAAAATTAAACCGACAATGTACGCAAACACGGGAGTTAATTTTACCATTCTTTAAAATATAATTATTAAAAAAATTCTTTAAAATATAATTGAATGATCAACATAAAAATATATAAACAAATGAATGATCATATAAATAATACTTTTTATAATAAATTATATGATATCCATGATGTAGTAAATATATTTTATATAAATTTAATTTTTAAGAATATGTTTAACATTAATTATTCATAGAATGCTAATTTTTATACGAGTATTAAAAAAATAGAATTTAATCTTTAAATATAAATGTTTAATTTTATTTTATAAAAACAAAAAAACAGCGTCCTATATACCATGTAAAAGAAATAAAGGGTTTTTATAATAAGAATAAATAAAGATACACACGGTAGATCAAAATAACATAAAATATAATTTATACTACGACAAAAAAAACAATTATCTCCTGGTACGATATACAGAATACTTTGGGTTTGGGGTGAAACCGAGTGTAGATAACCGTAGCTATTTCTCCACTGTTTTCTCTCTCCAAACCAAAACCAGTGAAGTATGTGAAAAGCAAACCCTCTCTCTTTCTCTCAGATTTCCATATTACTACGACAACCACTATTGCTTTCTATCTAATCCAAAATAAATAACATTATATTCTGCCATATCGCATAAAACTATTAATCTTTTTATATTAAAAAAAGAAAATTAAGAAAGACGAAAGGTATGGTATTATTTAGGTGAATAATAATTTTATATTTATAGAGTGTGGTAGTTCTTCTGGTTGGTGATTGATTGTTCTTTATTGTCTCCATTAATCTTTTTTATCTATTTTTTTTTCAGGAGGAAAAACCCTAAGGTTAAAGGATCGCTTATTATTTGCTCCAAGTTCCTAGATCTTGACTCGGTTGGAGTTAGCTTGTCGATCTGTTGTGTTGACTCAATGTCGAACACCGACTGATTCGCCGAGAAGTTGAAATGACGAGGAAACTTTTTTCTTTCTTTCTTGATTGAGTATTTCAATGTTAATCTATGAAAATGTCGGCTTCGTTAGCGGCATTCGAGCGGCCAAAGGGGGGAACCTCCAACATGGTAACGTCCTTTTTTTTTATACTATTTTTCCTTTTTTTAGTTTATTTTCTGTTTGGTTGCTGAGAAAATGGAATGTGGATAGAAAAGGAAGTTGTAGGTTCTTTTGTGTGCATTGTTTGGATTAATTGATTACGTGGTGTTACATATAATGAACTTTTGATTAAGGCCTTTCATTACTATTTTTTGGTAGAAGTTGAATTTTATTTTGAGATTCTTAAATTGAACTTCAGTTCAGCTTGGTTTGATTAATATTTACTGTTATCATTCAATTTGAAAGAAAGAAACGTCTAAAGAACCAATGTAGCCATTGGAAATTTTCCATGCATTTTAACTATGAGATTTCTATATCTAAATATTAAAATAAATTTGTGTTTTTCTTGTTTCAATATATAGTTTTTTCATTAGGTTAAGAATTTTGTATCCTTACACAAAACTTTATCAGCATGCACGAGCCAAATCCTTTCTTCCCCATCTCCTTAATTGGATTTGGTTGAATTCTGCAAAATCAACTTCTAATCATGTTACAAAGAGAGAGTCCTCATACTGTTGAGTATATCGTTTGGTGAGTTAAAACACATTGTGTAAAAGAAAATGAAATCAAGATGGACATATACATAAAACAGGGAAACGAAAAATGTGGAGGAGGATTGGAAATTCTTCCAACATCTTTTTTGAAATCTATGAATTTACACTTCTCCAGTCTCATTGTTACATTTTTAAAAACACAATTTTAAGAATTGCAAAGTGTAATATCTTCTTTAACCGCTTCATAGAGATTTTTGTTTGCGATGGATGTTGAATACATGGACTTGTGGTCCACAGTCTAACATATTTTCCCAGCTGCTATGTATGACATTGAATTGTTTTGCTTTCTACAGTCACATTTTAATATCAGCTGGTAAATCCATGTGTTGTCACAACTTCGAGGTAGATCATAATTCTCAAGAAAAATAACAACAGCATTGTCCTGTAGTAATAATCATTGTATAATCAAATCAATTGGTAGTTAAGTAATTTTTTGAGAAAATCAACCTAGTTTATCATGTATATTGTATAAAAGCATTGCTTCAATCATTGATCGATTGATTTGCATAGCATCAACTGATAGCATAACAATAAAATTTTGGGTTTTGGTTGTACCGCCAATGATGCATATGCTGTATCTGCTCCCTTGACTTGAATTGATTAAAAGCTCTTTCTGCAAGAGTATATTTAGTTTTATACTATGCATTTGGTGCTCGTTTTTGGCTTTTGACATGTGACAGTTTCACAGGTTTTCAAGAGTGGCCCACTTTTCATATCCTCAAAAGGTTTGTAAAGTTCTTGATTACTGTTTCCTTCCTTTAAACTATTCTCATAGTTATAACTTGCATCGAAGTTTACTGTATGCCCATCGCTTCTGCATCTATAACTAATGCTTATATCTATTCACTTACAAAGATAAGGATAAGCACACTGTTTATTAGGAGTAGCTTTGTATTTAAATTGCATCAGTAGTTTGTTTATGCACATATCTGTATGAGTATTATATCTGTAAATTTATTCTCCCTCCGTGTTTGTGTATGTAGGTATGTGTATGTCAACCTACTTATGTTTGCTTATCTTCTTGGCAAACCATGTTCAAGTGTTTGCCCTTCTTTATTGGTGGTATTAGTATTAATTTTGCAATGTGTTCTTGAAGTGAAGATTCATGTTTTGCTCCATCATATTTGTTGAAATTGATATCTGGATTGAAGTCTCTTGCATTCATTTTTACCTGTAATCACCTCTCTAATGTGTAGGGCCTAGTTATATGAATGTTTTTCAAATACTCCTTTGATTCAGTTATCAACATAGTTTGTCTTAAAATTATTTTATAAATTTTGAAATTCTGCAGGGATTGGTTGGAAATCTTGGAAGAAGAGGTGGTTTATTCTCACACGTACATCCTTGGTGTTCTTTAAAAGTGATCCTGTTAGTACTTACTACTGTTTCCATTATTTTAGTAATTATATTATGACTTATATCTTTCCGGAATTTTTCTGTTCTACTGTTTCCTGAGACATGCTCGTATTAGGAATCTATTGTCTGATAATTAAGTTCATAGTTGCCTGATGTTTATTGGTGTTGTATCATATTCAATTTTTTTAGCTTTTTCCCTCACTTTTTATACATACGTCTGTACCTTGTCTTTTCAATGTTTTAACTTTGGAATGGTTTAATAGTACATCTTAAATCATTCAGGATTGTTGCACATAGAAGGAAGCTCATGATATGATTGATTTTATGTAACACCGAGGGACACAGTCATCGTGAAATTTTGGGGAACGGTTGCAGACCATCATGTTATGAATATTTTAGATTTTCCCACTTCCTGATGCTTTTCCCTATGCAGGAATTACAATATGATCATCGTCTTCCTTTTACAGTTTTAAATGATCATTAAAAGTTTATTTTCAGGAATTAATTAAAACAAATGCTTATTTCTTTAATTTTCTTGCAGAGTGCCCTACCACAGAGAGGTGGCGAAGTTAACTTGACTTTGGGGGGTATTGACTTGAACAATTCTGGAAGGTGTGGATAACAATTACATATTTTCTAGTATGGTTTGTGATTGTAGTCTTGCTTATAGTTCCTCTTCTTTGCAGTGTTGTTGTTAGAGAAGATAAAAAGTTGTTGACTGTATTGTTTCCTGATGGACGTGATGGACGGGCATTCACTCTTAAGGTGCATCATGTGTGGTTGACTATTGTTTCAGGCTTTCAGCTATTATTTTATGTACTCTTTTAGGACTTAATTGAATACTTGTTACTTGCCAAATTCAGGCAGAAACATCAGAAGATTTGTACGAGTGGAAGACAGCTCTAGAACATGCCCTCACACAAGCGCCAAGTGCTGCACTTGTCATGGGACACAATGGGATTTTCAGAACTGACACGACCGATACAATTGACGGGTCATTCCATCAATGTTTGTTCCCTAGAGTTTCTTCTTAATTTATTTGATGTCATCATTCCTTGTCAACTGATTCTTCTGCAATTCCTTTACTTAACTAGATTTTTGGATTTTTCTTAGGGAGAGACAAACACACTGCTAAGTCATTGGTTGTTGGAAGACCGATTTTGCTTGCGCTTGAAGATATTGATGGGAGTCCATCATTCCTAGAGAAAGCTCTACGATTTCTTGAGAAGTTTGGTAAGTGGTGACTTATTTGTTATTACTTATATTACTCAATCTAGTCCTTCTGCAGTTATGTTAGGTCTGATGGAAAGTGTAGTTTTTCTCACACACACTTATCTAGAAAATTGAGTTCTTAATCTTTTTGATTTGGTTTTGTTAAGCACCCAAAGGTTTTATCTGTGCTATCTTATCATTGGGGAAGATGTCAGATCATCTGTTTTGTTAGAGCATGGGAATTCATAGGTTTATGTGGTAAAGCTGTATGATTCTATAAGGATCTATGGTAGTTAAGTTTTATTTTAATATACTACTATTAGATGGCCAATGGTCTGAGAGAAGTTGTGGGGCTTTGGTTGATCTTACAGACACCTGTACATGCTTAAATGATCAGATTGCAATTGCTGTAAGATTGGTGCTTCTTTAAGTAATATCAAGGAGTAAAATGAAACTGGCAATAAAATTACTTTTTACACCTTTGTCTTCCTCACACTTGGCTACTATTTTTTTTATTTTGCGTAGCATGGAGTCCTATGCCTTCCCGAGTGTAGCAAAGTAAGATCCTTCACCAGACTAGCAGTTAACATTTTCAGTTGTAATGTGAAATCTTTTTTTGATAGGAATAGTAGGCCTCACACAAAAACCCCCTTCATGATTAATTGAACTTGGAAAAGTTCCTTAATCAACGGAAGGAGGAAAAGAGTGCCTTGAATTTCATTAATAATAGGATTAGAACATAAGAATACAATACCCTGAACTCCTTTAAGGAGATCAATAAGCAAAATAAAACAGCCCTTAAAAACAACAAAAGCGATCAACCAATTCCAGCTTTAGCTAGAGTATCAGCCTCTAGATTAGCTGCCCTATTAACCCATCTAATAACATCTTCACCAGCTCTAAGTTTTTCAATAATCTCTTTAACAATGTGAGCATAAACATCAGGACATGAAACAGGATCCTTAACCCAGTCAACAACCACCCTGCAGTCACTCTCGATGATAAGTCGATCCTTGATCCTGTGACGAATAGAGTCAAAGAAAGATAAGCCCTTGAGGATAGCTTTCAATTCCATCAAAGGAGGTCCAGGACCTGCTGACTCCATATAAGACCCTATGATTGACCCTGAGTCGTCTTTCAAAACACCACCTAACCCACTTCTCATCCAGTCAGCAGTAGTAGCAGCATCTACATTTAACTTGGGCAAAAATTTCTATGCACATACACTCTTTTGATAATCTATTATTTTCTAGGTTATCATCTTGGCTAGATTGCTCAAACCCACTAGTAGTTGCATCCCCCCCCCAAAAAAAATCAATTTAGAAATTAGAATAGTCAGATATGAGTTAAAACTTCATGAGCTGGTTGACCTTGTAAAACTTATTAGTTGCAATGCAATTTTGGAAGAATAAGCTGGGGGATTTCTGTGAATACTAGAAGAGGCCTGAAAGGGATAAAGTGAAAGAAAATAGTTTCTTTTTTCTTTGTTAATATTTTCGTTTCACTCATAATATTGTTTCTACTATAGGAACTAAAATTGAAGGAATTCTACGTCAGTCTGCAGATGTTGAGGAGGTTGATCGCAGAGTTCAAGAATATGAACAGGGTATCTTTTTATATCTAATGGACGACTATTTTAGCATATTTACATAGTTGTATATCTGGATCTCTCATCTCATTTTAAGGTTTTCTAGTGGATAAGTTGCATTCTTAACAATCATCCTAATGCTCTTACATATCATATTTTCATAACATAGGCAAGACTGAATTTGGTTCTGATGAGGATGCTCATGTTGTGGGAGACTGTGTTAAGGTAGCTCTGCCAGTACATTATATCATGTTTTATCAGATTGATGTTCATGTTCCTTATCATTTAAATTTGATGATCCACAGCACGTTTTGAGGGAGCTACCCTCATCCCCTATTCCTGCATCCTGCTGTACTGCATTGCTGGAGGCTTACAGTACGTTTAACTCTTTGCTTTGTTTTCTCTCTTTATCTTTTTATTTTATTTTAATTTTTGTTGAATTTTGATAATATAGCTTTAAGATGTTAAAAGAGATTTATTTATTTTAAATTTCTGTAACCCCCTAGACCCGGTCTATGCGTTTCGACTAAGTCTAGTGAATCACATTCATGATTCTTAAAGATATTGTTCCGAAACCATTATTCAATCATGATAAAATCACATTATAAATGACGTTTATGAAAATATAATAATTTATACTATAAAAATACAAATTAATTTAAACATGTCTTAAAAATCCAAATTTACGATAAACCAAATATAAATAGCAAAGGAGTAATCATTATAAAATCCAATACTTTAAAATAAGGCCCATGTTACCAAACTAGTGTCAATTTAAAAGATAAAACATTACAATACGATATACTTCAAGAGATATGTTGATCCTCCAAGTGCTCAATCAGGTGAATCTAACCAACAGTATTTGAAAGGGGAAAACATTTTCGAAAAATGAGCTAGGCTCAGTGTGTCCCAACATTACTATAAAATCATGATAGGTACACTAAACAAATCATAGTCCAGTAAATCTCATAAAATTATACTGCAATAAATCTCATAAAAGAGTTATCCTAAGGGAACATCTTAGGGCCTGAGAGCCTACTCAAGATAGATTTCGGGGCCGTGGGGCCTACCTAAGAACACATCTTAGGGCCGCAGGGCCTACCCGAGAATGATCTCAGGGGCCGCAGAGCCTACCTAAGAGTCACATTAGGTCCGTAAAATTTTTCAGCTTGATCAGGGTTGTACTTTATAAATTCGTATTCTAAAAATTCAATTGCACCGTGACATAAATTCCATAAATCCATAAACATGGTAATCATATACCATTTCAAAACAAAATCAGATAGCGGTCATAATCCATAAATCATCACATTAAATCAGTGCATCAATAAAACAGTAACCAAAGAATTCAGTGTACCACATATTAAAACAAATAAAACAGTTCAGTAATAAATAGGGAACACACCTCGATAATAGGTTCAAGTAGTAGATCTACTGATTGTTGGTCTCACCACGCTCTGCTACAGTTTTCGAACCTAATTTATAATAACACTATATTACTAATGGGTAGCATAATTAATCTCTAAAATCATAAAATTTACGGGTCAAACTCATTTGATCAAGTGGTTTCTAAAACAGACAGAATGGAAGAGGAGAGAGAGAAAAACGTAGAGAGAGAGAATTTGAAAGGAAAGTCAGTTCCGGTTGAGTGTTGGTCGGCGTTTATCGATAATCTAAGTAAAAGGGTCTCCCATCGTACGCTTAGGGAATTATTCTTAGTTCATGGTCCTGTTACGAGAGTCTTTATTCCCAGCCAAACTAGAAATCCAAAATACAAGTTCTCTACTTTTGCCTTTGTTCATTTTAAGAGGGAGGAGGATCTGAAGAGGGCTGTTGAGGAGTTAAACGGGATTGTGATTGATGGAAGGAAGATCTCAGTTAGTCCTGCCAGATTTAAGGATGAACGTTCAAGGTCAAGGGTGTTGCTTTCTTCTTCAAACAATGATGCTGGTCAGATTAATGCAGAATCTTCAAAATCAAGAGATAGAGATAATATTAATAGAAGTAGGAGGGATGATAGATCTTATAGGGATGCTCTGTTGTCTAATGGGAATAGAAGGGGGAACAATGATCTAATGTCTGAGGATATCCAGAGGAGGAATGTCAAGGGAAATATATTTGAGATGCATATCCCAACAGACAGCGCCAACTGGGTGAAGAGGTCGTTAACAGGGATTATCAAATACTCCTTTCAAGTGGAGTTCATTCGGACGGCATTATTAAAAGAAGGCCATGATGTTCAAATTGCGAGATGGGGCTATGTCTGGAATTCTTGTGTGATAGTTCTTAAATCTCATGAGGAGATGCTGGAGTTATGGAGTAAGAAAGAAGAAGTTTTAAAACAGTGGTTCGAGCGAGTGGAACCTTTACTGAATGAAGCCGGGGTACCAATGGCCTTCTGCATGGCGGAATTAAAAGGTGTTCCTTTGTTATGCTGGAATGAACCCTTCTTCGAGAAGTTGGCTGGTAGATGGGGCAGTGTGGTAGATATCCATGATAATACAAGGAAAAGAGAAGATCTCACAATGGCAAGAATCTTATTGAAGGTGGAAAGTCCTTTTGATGTTCCAGAGGTTATTACTCTTGGATCGTATGGAAGATCATACAAAGTAAGTATCAAGATTGGATCAGTTAGTGAATATTCTAGTTCGTTTTTCAATAATTTTCCGGTGGAGGATTCCGGTGAGATATTTTTTGAAGAGAGGATGTCTGAGAAGGATGAAGACAGATTGTTGTCAGTTCATGGGGAAGGTGAGACTTGCGCAGAAGGGGAAAATCGTTTGTCAGTGGACAATTGGATTGACCAGGGAGTGTTTCGTGTTTCTGGAGGAGCTAGTGAGGACAGACAGCTAGCAAGACTTTCCTTAGATAGGAAAGATAGTAAATGTGGTCTGTCAGAAAGTCAGACTGTTGGAAAGTTTAAAGTTGGTGAGTATGCAGGTTTGGGGATTAGAAGTCAAAATTATTCGGCTGATGGATCTCAGGCCCATTCTGAAGATTCTGGGCAGTCTGGGTCAAAATACTTTTCGGGTTTTATTTCTGGGCCAGCATATACAATTAATAAGTTTGGGGAATTGGTTGAAAACATTCATTTATCAGGAAAAAGCAGGGGAGTGTCCAAGGTATTGGAATCGAGTCCAATTGTAGAGAAGCCATTTAGTGTAGAGATAGACCCCGAAGAAGAAAATTTAAGACCATTGGAACAGGTTTCAAATAACAACTCAAGGGGGAGGCAGTTACTTCGCTCTAGAAGGGAGTTTACAACAGAGAGTAATGTGCTGGAAACTAGAAGTCTGAGCAATTGCAAAAGCGTTTACAACAGGTCGAGGGAAAGAAGATACTGGTATGGGGATTTGTTGAACATCTCGTCTGAAACAGGGGGTGCCGTAGTTAAGCAGAGGGAGCTAGATGTTGATTCCAGTACTAATATTCAGTTCTGTTTATCAGCAGAGAACATTGCTGAGGGGAGTCTTGATCCTTATCTTGACAATGGATATGGGGGTGGGAGTGTAGGAAGGGAGATTGAAGGTTACTTTTCAGAAGGTGATTGCTTAAAATCCAAATCTGGTTTGCTGATTAGAAGGAAGAGAAGAACTAAAAGGATCCTGTATCGTGAAGCCCTAGACAAGGTGAGCATTGATACAGCATCCTCCTCAGCTTTTTCGATTCTGTTGAAAGAAGCGGTGGAAACTTGGGAGGTTAGCAAGCTTTTGGGTGTGTCTTTTAAGGAAGGGAAAGAAGCCTTTTTGGATAAAATCATAGCTTTAGAGAAAGGCGTAAATGGGGTTAATAATGGATTGGTTGATTGAGGAGTGTGTCTGCACCTATTTCCTTTTTGATGATGACAAAGCTAGTAATATGTTCATGGAATGTTAGGGGTTTGGGGAAAAACGAGAAAAAGAGGGCTGTTCAGAATTTAGTCTCCAACTTTAATCCTACTTTTCTTTGGCTGCAAGAAACTAAGACTGAGAAATTTAGGAAGTCTTTTTTTAGGAGAAGTGGAATTAATAAACTAAAAGGAATTTTGGAATCTCCTTCAGTTGGATCAGCGGGGGGCCTGTTGTGTTGTTGGGATGACAATGTTTTTGAGCTGGAGAATCAGTTTGTTAGCAGGAGATTCATAGCTACTTTCGGTAAACTTCGGAGTATTGATTCCGGGTGTGGTTTCATCAATGTCTACGGTCCAGCAGTGGAGGAGGAGAAATCTGGTTTTTTTGAAGAATTGAGCAGTTTTCTTAGTGGACAGACTTATCCCATTTGTGTGGGAGGGGATTTCAATGTATATTTACAAGAAGATGAGAAATTGGGAAGGGGTCAAAGTAGGAGTTCAATGGAGATCTTTAATGAGTTCATTCTTCATACGGGCTTGATTGATCTTCCTTTGAACGGGGGTAGGTTCACTTGGTGTAATAACCAAGATAATCCCACTTTTGTTAGATTGGACCGTTTTTTGGTTGATTGTCGTTTCCTAGAGCTGTTTCCGGGCGTTGTGCAGTCGCTTCTACCAAGATCTTTGTCAGATCATAATGCTATAGTTCTGGAGAATAAAGGGGTGGACTGGGGTAGAAAACCCTTTAGATTATTCAATTATTTGATGGATGAGGAGGGTTTTGAGGATCTGGTTGTTTCTTCTTTTCAGAGTGGTAAGGATAGTCAGAATGAGGCAGGCGTTTTTAGTCTGATGAGGAACACCAAACAGGCAATTAAGAAGTGGTCTGGGAACAGAGAGAAGTATCCAGGTGCTTTGATTTCTGAGTTAGAGAAGAAGATTTCGTTGATAGAGGATGATATTCAACAGAAGCAAGGAACTGTTGACAGTGAGGTATTAATTGAATTGAAAAATCTAAGAGCAGAATTGTGGAAGCTTCACAAGATTCAGGAGCAGATCTGGTTTCAGTACTCGAGAACTAATTGGATTGTTGATGGGGACCGCAATACTAAATACTTCCACACTTGTGCTACGATTAGGAATAAAAGGAATGCTCTACTTGCTTTAAACTTCAAAGGGGAAACAGTTGAAGACCCAACGGCAATTAAGGCCATAGTTAAAGAGTATTTTTTTAAGATCTATAATGAACGAACTACTTTAGAGATTGATGATTTGAATCTGGATTTTCCCAGAATTTTTTGGAGCAGAAGCAGTTCTTAGAACAGGAGTTTTCTGAGGAGGAAGTGTGGGAAGTGGTGAAATCTTGTGGCAGCAACAAAGCTCCGGGTCCTGATGGCTTTAATTTGGGATTTTTTAAGAGGTTTTTAGATATTATGAAATTCTTTCATAATTTTTACTTGGGGAAGGAATGGGAACATGGTGTAAATCACACTTTCATCACTCTTATTCCTAAGATTTCTAACATTGGTGGTCTGGACGATTTTAGACCTATAAGCCTTGTTGGTGGATTGTATAAGATACTCTCGAAATGTTTGTCAAGAAGACTTAGGAGCTGCATTTCAGATTTGATCAGTCCAAGTCAATTCGCTTTTATCCCCGGTCGGCAAATCCTGGACTGTTCTCTTATAGCAAATGAAGGGATTGACTTTTGGAGGAAGAATGGTTTAAAAGGGTGTGTTTTTAAGGCTGATTTCAAGAAGGCATATGATACTCTTGACTGGCCTATTTTGTTCAGAATAATGAAGGAAATGGGCTTTGGTTCTAGATGGATAGGTTGGATTTCGAAATGTGTCACTTCAGCGACTGTTTCAGTTTTGGTGAACGGAGTTCCTACTGAGGAAATTCCTATGGCGAGGGGTCTTCGGCAGGGCTGTTCCTTGTCTCCATTGTTGTTCAATTTAGTTGGGGAACTATTGAATCTATTAATAGCGAAGGCTGTTTCACGAGGGCTTTTTTCGGGACTGGTCATTAGAAAAGACGAGAGGAATTTTAATTTAACCCATTTGCAATTTGCTGACGACCTTATTATGTTCTGTGGGGCGTCGGAAAAACAGATCTTGAATGTAAAGAGGGTTCTTCGGGTGTTTGAGATTATTTCTGGTCTCCAGCTGAATTTAAAGAAGTGTAAATTATTTGGAGTGAACTTAAAGGAAGAGGAAATTAAGGGTTGGGCAGCTATGATTGGATGTTCAGTGGGCTCTTTTCCCTCAGAATATTTGGGTCTCCCTCTAGGTCCACATAGGAACTCCAACATTCTATGGGATCCAGTGGTTCAAAGCTTTAATAAGAGGTTAGCGGGCTGGAAAGGCTCCTCTCTGTCACTGGCAGGCAGGCTAGTTCTAATTAAATCAGTTCTATGCTCACTCTCGATTTACTTTTTGTCAATGTTCAAGGTTCCAGCTTCAGTTTACAAGACTCTAAATTCTATCATGTCAAATTTTTTGTGGGGTGGTGGTGATGGGAGAAAGAAGATACATTGGGTAAGCTGGTCCGATGTTTGTAAACCAAAAATTGAAGGAGGATTGGGGGTTCCTAATTTAAAGGTGGTGAATAGGGCACTTTTGGAAAAGTGGGCTTGGAGGTTTGCTATTGAGAGGGAGGCGGTTTGGAGGGAAATGCTCTGCATCAAATATAAATTGGATCCTTCCTTGATGCAGTTTGACAGTAAAGTCTCTCCTAAACTATCCTGGATGTGGAGAGATATGGTGAGAAATCATTATAATGCTGATTCGTTGGGCTGTAGTATCAGAGGTAAATATAGCTTTAAAATTGGCAATGGGAGGAACATTCGGTTTTGGCAAGACAATTGGACAATGGATCATCCTTTGATGGTTTTGTTCCCTAGAATATTTTCTATTGCAGTAAATAAAGAAGGAAGATTATCTCAGTTTGGGGAGTTCAGTTCAGGGGGTTGGATTTGGAACGTTCAGTTGAGGAGAGAGTTGAATGACTGGGAATTTGAGCAATGGGCAAATTTGATGGTTGTTATCTCTGATTTCTCTATTTCTGCTGATGCCACTGATGGATTGTTTTGGAAGGGGAATGGGGAAGGGGTTTTCACTGTGAAATCATGTGTCAACCTATCTTATTCGGGTTCTCCCGATTCAGAGGAAGCTAAATTTTGGAAGTATAATGTTTGGAGGGGTCGGTTGCCTCCAAGAGTTGAGACTTTTCTTTGGCAAGTTATATTAAAGAAGTTGGCGGTCAAGACAGCTTTGGTTAAGAGAGGTGTTCGGGGCATAAATGATACTTTGTGTTCTTTCTGTAATCTTGAAGACGAGTCTTCATCGCAGTTATTTTTTTCCTGTTCGTTTGTTTGGCCAATTTGGATGAAATTCTTGGGATATTGGAATTTTCAGTCGGTTTTTCATGCAGATGCTAAAAGATTCCTATTGGCTTGGAATGACTTGAAGACCAACTCTCTTATCTGGCCATTTATTCCTGGAGCTGTTCTATGGACAATTTGGAAGACCAGGAATTTTATTGTGTTTGAAGGAGGGAAGCTTGACCGAGCAGAGATTTTCTTTCTAGCTAGGTGCAGGCTTGCTTCATGGTTTCTAGCTAAGGAAACTCAAGTTACTATTTCCAAGGATGATATTATTGCTGACCCGTCCATAGTGGATTCCTACTCATCCCATTCTTATCGGGTTTCTACCGTGTTTCCTTGGTCCCCTCCTCCAAAAGGTTTTGTTAAACTTAATGTGGATGCGGCTACCTTGAGTGATTGGAAGAGGAGTGGCTTAGGTGGTATTTTGAAAGGCATGTCTAGTTCGATTCTTGGCTCCTTCAAAGAGCCGGCTGGTCCGGGGCCCCCAACTTTAATGGAATTGAAGGCTATCCTAAAGGGTTTAGATTTTTTTGAATCTATTCGTCATAGGGTTAAAGATAGATTGATTATTGAGAGTGATAGTCAGGTGGCAGTTGGCTGGATTAAGGATGTGGTCTCTTGTCATGTTGTTTATGTTCAAATAGTTAAAGACATTATTCAAAAGCTTAGTGTTTTTGAAGGTTTTATTAGTTGGGTTAGTAGGACAGCCAATATAGAGGCGGATGTCCTAGCTAAGGCGGGTATTGGTTGAATTATGCTCTGTTAAGGGCTGTTTCTTTTTGGTTTTATATCTCTTGAGGGAGATGGTTTGTATTACTTTGTTATATTTGAGTTTATTGAATCCTAGGGCACTCCTTTCCTCCTTGTGTGGATTAAGGAACTATTTTTAAGTTCCGTTAACCACCAAGGGGGTTTATTGAGGCCTTTTATTCCTATCAAAAAAAAAATAAAATTTACGGGTCTTACGGGTGAATACTGGCACACGTGGTTTAACTGATCTAGAAGTGCTGGGTCGAGCTGTCGAACGATCCGGAGAGTCTCTTGTACTTTCAAACAATAATAATTTATCAACCCCAAGTCTTACTTAATTGATCAAAGCTAAAATTCTTAAGTATATAAGTATTTTCCGGGTTTGACTATCAATTTGGAGGATTTCGAGTATGAATTTGACCAAACGGTTTGCGGAATCGGAATCAAGACGTCGAGAAACATAAAGTAAGACTTTTCGAAAATTCAAATTCTTGGTCAAAATCAAAGTCAACGGGTTTGAGTGATGATTTGGAGACTTTCGGGTTCGAATTTGGCGAAACGGACTTCGGAAACGGATTCGGCACGTCGAAAAATGTCAGAATAGGTATACTCGAATAAAATCGAAGGTCGTTTAATGGCCGTTTAAAGCCGGTCAAAGTTATGGTCAAAGGGTTCAATAGTCCACATTCAAAAATCCCAAAATGTCACCTTTTTCAAAATAATTCCCAGAATGTCACCTTTTTCAAAATAATTCCCAAAATGTCACATTTTTTAAAATAATTCCCAGAATGTCACATTTTTCAAAATAATTCCCAAAATGTCACTGGGTCGGGTCGGTCAACGGGTCGGGTCAGACAGGTCAAACCGGTCACAACATCACCCAGCTGTTCGCATCCTTCCCCACGCGCAGGGGCGGCACGTGGGGGCGCGTGAGACCTCTTCCGGTCTCCAAAAATTCCTGCAAAAATTTCCAAAAATTATTTTAAGCGATTTTGAGTCACTTACCAACCTCGGCTCAAATTTTTGAACGGTGGAGAGCTCGATTTCAACTCAGCCGAATCTTTAACCGCTCCACTTCCCACACGCGCCGCCGCCTACGGAGACAAGGACGACACCGTCGGACTCGGAACGACACCAGGAACACGATGGTGCGGGACGTGTCGAAAACCGATCAACGATCAGAGATGAATTTAAGATTTTCCCGGCGGTGGTGCTAAAAAAAACGTCGATACTTTGACTCGAAATTCACGGCGTTTGACAGCGTTTCGCTAAAATTGGTTTACTGGGTTTTGTTTACGGGTCGATGATGAACACAATGGTGGTTTCAATTTTTGCGATTGGAAGTCGGACGGCGTCGGAATCGGGCTTGAAAGTAAGCGCGGGAGGAAGAAATTTGAGGAATTGCTTGTGTTTTCTGATTTTGAAATCAGAAAACACGTTTGGTTTATAATCAAACCTGCCGACACTCCTTGGAGGAATTTAGAGCTTAGTCCATGAATTTCCTTTAACTTCTAAAATGACCTATAAGTTTTGAAAACTTTTAATTTAGTCACCAAATTTCCCCAAATTACACCGATTTAAATATTTTTTTTTCTGGTTGTTACAATTTCAGTATGTATTCTTGGGGCAAATTTTGGTGCTTTATATTGTATTTTTAAAGCAAAAAGTGAAATCACAACTTGTAAAGTTCTGATTCTTTACATACTTGCTTTACCCTGTACCCACAAGTTTTTTACACTGTACCGCTGTACTCATGATTTTTTGCATGCTGAGTTGATATACTGACTTGGCAAGTCTAGAGTGAATAACAGTCAGCAATCAGCATTGTAAATTACTCGGAAAGCGAATAATTTACTTTGGAGTATGGAAACATAGAAAAGTATTATAGGGAAATTAAAAAATCTTGGGTATTTTGTAACAGGTTTTCTGTTTATATGTTAGCATTCTCAATTTCATGACTAAGTGGTCCATTTTTGCAGTCACTGGAATTGAATCACTTTATGAGGGGTCAGGGGACATGACTCAGCTAATGTTGTTATTATCGTGTTGGCACTGCCTCACTCTAGTTGTTTTTGTATGTATAAAATGATTGGACTTGAATGAACAAGCTTTTGTGCCTTTGAACTTTAAGCAGTTTCCTATGGCTTTTGTTTCATGTTAGTCTGCTGCAACTATTACACTTTTTTGGTCTGCTGCAACTATTACACTTTTTTGGGCTGTACAAGTTGAACTGCTACACTGTATGATATATCATCTGCAATTGTTTCACACTCTTTATATTATATTTTAGTTGTTCAATTGCTAATGTGTCTATAATAATTAATACTGTTGCTTTATGTTTTCATTGGATAAGAAATTGATCGGAAGGAAGCTCGGATAAGTGCAATGTGCTCTGCAATATTTGAGACATTTCCTGAACCAAACCGCCGCTTGTTACAAAGGTAATGTCCCTGTCAATTTCTAACATTACATGTTTTACTTTTTCCCCTTGTTTGCCTATTGCGCTTTATGGTACTCCTGTAATTAAAACTCTTATGATTGAATTTTTAGTTTTTAAAAAACTATGCTTTTTATACAATAAGTATATTTTTTTGTTAGTTTTATTTAATAACTTTCAAATTACATGTAGGCAAGAAGCTGTGGGGTAATTGCATTTTTAGTCCCTCCTAAGTATTAAAAATTCATTTTAACCCTTTGATTAAGTGGAAAATTCTCTTTTTTGTCCCCTCCTAAAAATCTTTCATTTAAGCCCTTTTAATATTTTTTTTAACTTTGACCCCTCTAATTTTTTTGTAATTTTATCTCGGCCCCACTTACACAAAGTTCTGGCTTTGTCTTTGATTGCATAGTGGTAGACTTCTTGTTGACATGAAACATGAATGCAGAAAGGATGATTTTGCTTCTGTTTATATGGTTTAATTAGCACAATGCTTTTACATGTAAGCAGATGCTTACTTGTGATTCTTTGAGAAGGTGTATTAGCCATCTGTTTGTTTATCTTACTTTATTTGATAATAAATCGTGTCATTTGTGGGAATGATTTAACCGATATTAAGCATTTAGGCTACATAAAGTAGAGAGACAGCTACTTGATCCCTCAGGAATATCTATTCTTGGGAGCTTTGAATTGATGATAGTGCTTTTCCCAACATTTTTTTATGTATAAATATTTTGAAGAGGTTATTAATCTTTCTCAAGTTATAAATGTTTATTAATTTATATAACTTGATATGCACCATGATTTGTAGGATTCTGAAGATGATGCATACAATCTCATCCCATTCTCATGAGAATAGAATGACCCCATCAGCTGTAGCTGCTTGCATGGCCCCCTTGCTTTTACGTCCTTTATTAGCTGGTGAATGTGAGTTAGAGGATGACTTTGATGCTAATGGTGATAATTCTGCACAGCTTCTTGCTGCTGCAAATGCTGCCAATAACGCTCAAGCCATCATTGCAACTCTTTTGGAGGAGTATGAGAACATTTTTGATGTAAGACGCTCCCAGCTTCAATGTCGTTTAATGTGGCATATCAATCTAAACGCTTTCTCTATGATCTCTTATGCTAAGAGTATTTTTTGTCAAAAAAAGAATGTTTTAGAATAATTCGTACCCAAGTTTTTTCCAAATAATATTTCATGAAAATTAAGCTAATATATACTCTGGGTTTTTTCAATTATATGATAACATTTATAGCCATTTTTCTCTTAGTATTAGTGAAGCATAATCTTATTTAGAATTTTATTTGAATGAATTAAATAATAAGTTTGTACAGTTGACATTAATGTGATGGCAATGCCATTTCATGAATTATCATTTGATTGCAAACTTGAGTTGACCAGGCTTTCATTAGTTATGGAAAGCTTCCAAATCTTTTTCTTCGCTTTGAATGTTTCTTATGATTCGAACTTCTCCTTCTCATAATTCTATTTTCAAATATTGTCAAGCTTCGCAATGTCAGAGCCCTATGTTTGTGATCTCCTTTCATATGGTGATATTTGTGGTGATTATTTCTGTTATTTCAGGATGCAAATCTACAAAGATGTTCTGTTTCAGCTGATTCTCGGGTTGAAAATAGTGGTAGTGAGGATTCAACTGATAATGAAAATCCAGATGTGAAAGACAATGGCTACCATGATGCAGAAAATGAAGCCAGTCCGGACTCAGATGAAGACCCTGAACGTGTTCTCAGTGGGAAATTAAGTGAAAGCAGCGGTTATGCAGGCAGTGATCTGTATGACTGCAAGGTTCTTTTTTCCCCTTTTCTCTAAAATGAAAACATAAAGATTATACATCAATGATTGCATACTTGAATTGTCCACCAGCCAATGGCGTAACCCTCTTGGCCTGAGGATATTGCTATATTGTTATAGTAAAAAATAAAGATATTTAATTTAAAATATGAATCGCTGGGTTGCTAGGCCGGGTCTGACCTGACTCTGGTTTAGCTAACATTTTCATTGTGTCAATCGGTTCCATCCCATGGGCTCCTTTTCACAAAAACACATGCAATGACTTCACATGAGAACTGTTATGATGTCTGTTGTGATAATCAGTGTTCAGAAACAACGACCGGATATCTTGGATTTGGGATGTAGTTAAAGATTCTTTGATTGTGCCATAGTACTTTTGTGTTGAGAAGATGATGGGTTTCATGCTTGTTAACATTTTATTTCCTTGCTCTTTTGTGCATACTCTGTTGCTGGGATCATTTGTTTTGATTCTTTGAGATTCTCTGTGATTATACAACTTGAACAATCATGCCATGCAAACAAGTAGCTCGACTTTTGGTTATCCATAGAGATACGGAAGTGCATGCTAATTCAAGTGATGGAGTGTGTAGTTTTTAGATGGATTTGTCATTTGATGGTAGTATCAAAGAGGATAAATTGAAAAAGGAAGTATTTACATGTTATGGAAAAGCAGTGAGGATTAATTAGCAGAACTTCAGCACCAATAGTTTCATATGTGAACTATATTAAGTAATGATATGCCCCTCGAGAAGATCAGAAGATTTCAACCTGTATCAAATGAAGAGCATGCTTTTATGTATGTGACTTACCCCATCTAGTTTTAAGGTTTCTGTTACATGCTAAACATTAGCTTGATAAAAGACTGGAGATTGAAAGAACTAAACCTTGTTTTTGCTTTTAAGATTGTTTGATGTTCGCACATCCAATGTTATCTTAATAACAGTATCCCCCTTGACATCATCCCTGTGAACTTTGTCAAAACGTGGATGCTAAATTTAATGCTGATTGGTCATTGCTTCCTGTTCTGATAGTTGGAGAACTCGAGTGATAATCCTTTAACCAATTGATACATTCATTTTCTGCGTACAGGCATTTGGGTTTGAGGGTTCAGATGTTGCCTCCCCTAGAAGCAATAATACTCAGGCTGAGAGTTCAACCTTAGCTGTAGACCCTTTGCAGATGCGATGTCCTGATCCTCAGCTGGAGGAACATGATAAACAAAATAAAGGAAATGAAAACCTAACTGATGAGATAGATGTCCCAAGTGTGTTACCTACTGGTGAATCTTACCAATCAATGGGTGAGATTCTTTCTTCAATGGATCCTGGCCATCTTATATCTGCACCTGAACTTGAATCTTCTACTGAGAAGCCAGTTGGTAAAGCTAGAGGCTCCGGCATTCCTGCGAAGAAATCAACATTTTGGGGAAGAAGCAATGTAAGTTACCATTCTATGATGTATTGCGTAATTGTGTGGATCCATCAGTACACACAATTTTATTCAGCAATTTGGAATGGATTTTAGATAAGAAAATATGGTTGGTTAACTTAGACATGATCTTTGTCTTGGTAAACTTTCCAATGATGGAGACACGGAAAAATTATCTTTGAAGGAGTTTTAGAATAAAGTTGAAGGCTCTTTAATTCTTGCATCATTGCTTTGTGCTTCATTCCTGCTTTCTTGGATTTTCCGTCACACGAGTCACAGTTTATTTTCTTTCTCTCTCTCTCTCTCTAGTTTTTGATAAACCCTGCGTGCAATGCTTAACAAACAAACTTCGTGCCTACAACTGCAAGGCTATAACTATTCCATCATTCCATAGATAAAGCTCCAAGTGATACAGACATTGCATTTATTGTTCAGTTCAGTGTTTGTGGGTAGTATGGCTTCAGCTCATGTCAAACCAGTTTGGAAGGCTGCTCCAGTTTTTATTTCATTAATAAATTTACTCTTATCTACTTACTCCATTGTGTTCCAACTCTTGTCAAATTCTTTTGGCCCTGGACTTACTTGGAAGGCTGCTCGTTTTTTTGCACTCCAATAGCAAATATGATTGTTGCGTTAACTAGCTAAGAAATGTTAATGGAGATCCTGTCTTTTATTAGAAATTGCTTGTTTACATGTCTGACTGGCTTGATAATTTGCATTGATTACCTTCCCCTGTATTTAGACTACATAAGGGAACAAACATATTTCTAAAAACTGTTACTGCACTCAGTAGGAGCATGTGTGCATCTTAATTGTTGTTCCTTATTTTGTTGGCGGAGGTACACATGCTTTGGTTTCACACATGGAAACACAATGAGATGTCTTATTTATTTTCACAGTTTTGTTGACAGAGTAAAACTATCCCCACTTGAATCTTCATTTGCTTTATTATACAGGCCAGAAAGACACCATCAATGGAATCTGTTGATTCTTCTGGTGAAGAAGAGTAAGTTACTTATTAGATCTTATAGCTTTCTGCTTTATTATTTGGATTTCTTTAAGCTAGTCGTCTGCATTTGAAAACTATTTCTCGGGTTTTGTGCTTTTGCAAATCTTAGTTAGCACAATCATGAATTTTAGTCCATCTTAAAAATCCATGTTGTAAGATCCCACATGTTAAAACAGCGTGCAGTTGAGTTCTTATTTTAAAACTGTCTAAATATAGCTTACATTTATATTATATTTGCAAAATCAATTTGTTGGTTTCCCCCCCTTCATTCAGACTTGCTATACAGAGGCTTGAGATTGCTAAGAATGATCTACAACATCGTATTGCAAAAGAGGTAAGCAGTGAGCATTATTTCTTAGAAATCATAATATGCTCGATCAAAATATATTTTCTCTCCACTGACATATTGCTCGCAACCTTCTATAGGCTAGAGGAAATGCTATTTTACAAGCTAGCTTGGAAAGAAGAAAGCAAGCCTTGCATGAACGTCGCTTGGCACTTGAACAAGATGTATTTCCTTCTTACTTATTGAACACCTATTTTAACCTAGAGATTTTTACTTCTTAATTTGCCTGCTGATATTTGTACTACATGTTTGGCAAGTAATTGAGTGTAAGCATTTTGGATTAGTACTATGTACTTTGTTAAGGCCTGTTTCTGTATATTTCTTCGTTTGCTTTAGTGAGCGTCTTAAATTGCTAGATCCGTGAACTTCTTTACCTGTTGAAAGAGATGGTTTTAAAATTTTCTGGATAGTAGCAATATAACAGGCTCTTGCAGTTGCAAATATCTTTCTACTGCTGTTGCTTACATACACCCAATATAAAATGCCTTCGGGAAGTGAGGGTTTTTGGATTGATGATGGCGCTTAGATGACTCGAAATTCAATCTGCGGAGGGTCATGCTAACTTGACAATTTTATGGCTTGCATTTATTGTGAAATAGTTATATATTGAAATTGTTTTCGGTAACTTTTGGAGACGTAGAGAAAAAGGGTAGTAATTGGGTACTTTATGAAGTGTTGTGCAGAATCTCTAACACAACAAAAGTCTATCTTCTTTCATTCGAATATGATTTTTCTTCGACAATTTCTCTAACCTTTTGTTGAAGATTTATGATTCTGGTTGTGTTCCTACTCACCCTTAAATGATTTTTCAGGTTTCTAGATTGCAAGAGCAGTTGCAAGCTGAAAGGGATCTTAGAGCAGCCCTTGAAGTTGGATTGAGCATGTCATCTGGACAATTTTCTAGTTCTCGTGGAATAGATTCCAAGGTTGGTACTGATGCCAAGAGAACCATTATTCTTTATAAATCTAGCATTCCTCATTCTTATAACTTGAAATGACGTGAAGACGAGGGCTGAGCTAGAAGAGATTGCTCTTGCTGAAGCTGATGTGGCTAGATTGAAGCAGAAAGTTGCAGAACTCCATCATCAGCTGAATCAGCAGCGACAACATCATTTTGGTTCACTATCTGATGCATGTGACCATTATCAACATGTCCAAAATCGTAACTCTGAACAGTGAGTTGATGGATTTTTTTTTTTTGAACAATGAGTTAATGGAATCTTTCTGTTCATTTATTTCTAAAGCTCTGTATGTCTAAGCTTAGTTGGCAGTTGCATGGCAGATTCATGAGGTCATGATGAATAATGATTGTTATCAATGAAGTAATTACTCATGTCAGTACTGGATTGAGATTTTGAACGTACTTTATCAGATGAATGTTTATTTTTGCGCATGAAATCATGCGACTTGTTTCGACTGTTGGTTCCTTGCATTAGGAGTTATATTTCAAGTTCCTTCTTGAGGATTCTGAAACCCTCATATAAATTTAGCGAAGGTTCTTTCGCTATATAGGTGAATTCAAACACTTAAGAGGATAGATTTATATTATGCCTTGAAATAGTCTTGAAAAATATGCCTTTCTTATAGGTGGACCTTGTTGAGTGGATTGTGGGAGGAGAGCCATCTTTTTAGTAGTTTCTGAATCGTTGAAGCCAGAAGCCTTATACAAATTAGGCTTGGGTTTGATGTTTGAAACGGATGTGGTTACTACTATTTATAAAATAATCAATGACTAAATCCCAGCGAAGAAGAAAACTTTTTTGCCAGATGGTTATGAACAATTTTTATTACTTGAAGTGGTAGTTATTATAATTTTGTCAACTTCTTTTCCTTGTACCTAAATGTATTTATATAAATTTTGAAGGAGGTTTCTTCAGCAAGATTTTGATACAACCCTTGCCTTTTGTAATCATGAGAGGAAACATAGAACTGAGGTACGTCTTCACTGCATTTAAAAAAAAAATCTATGCGTCATCTCCGTGGATTGAAATGGAATTTCATCTTAGAGGTATGCCTTCATCAGAGTGAAAGCTGTTTGTCCTCATTTTGTGTTTTCCTTGGAAATGATGATAATTTTTGTTTGTTTTCGTCAAAATATACTTGGGGCTCTAATTTTGCCTATAATGAAAAGCTTGAGCTCAATCCGTAACTTTTAGCTCTAGCTTGACTGAGTACCATTTTCAGTCTGGAGCTGGAGCTGGAGCTCAAGTTAAGCATTTCCAATTTCACATTTCTTGTTCCATTTGATATGTTTTCCTTTACATATAAAATTGACTGATGCTCGTTCTGACTTCTGCATGCCGTGGACTAAGGAGTTTTATTGGTAATGACAACAAAAGTAAATTCATGATGAGTACAGATCAGTTAATACCTTCAATTTTTCTGCATCAGTTCCTGTTCTAATGCTATCACCTTTGAACTTTTTCTATCTCCAAAAAATTGTCTTTTTTGCTGTTATCTCATTTCACATATTCATGTTCAGTCTTAGTTTTATCAACTGTAATAGGCAATTTTAAAACCATCTCTGCAGGAAAGTTTGTTAGGGTCAGATTGGAGGAATGTGAAAGGACGGGAATTGGCAGTTGGCAACAGCAGCCGACCGCCTACTCGAAAGCAGTTGGTGGAGTCATCAAGCTTGAGTGACTCAAAAGGCACTGAGCTGTCGGCTAATACGTCTATGGATGAGGTCAACTCTACCTCTATCCCGTCCACTGCAAGAGCAGCAGAGGTAACACTGATTAATTGTCTGTTTCTATTCTACAGGGAACCTTGGTTCTTTCAAAATTTTGACTTTTGATATCAGAATCTATATGAACATTGACTATTAATTATGAACCTTTTTAGTTGGCAGGCAGTGGTGGATCTTGGCAATACCGTTTGGAGGTCTAAATTTTTGAAGGGTTTAATTTAAAATTTTCAAAAAAGTGAAGGTTTAACTAAAATTTTGAGACTTAAAACTTTTAGTAGGGGACTTAAAAAATACTCGAGATTGAAAACATAATAAGAAATTTTAAAATTTTGAAGGGGTCAAATTATTTGTTTAATATAAAGGATTAAATTATAAATTTCAAAAAAAAAATTGTTTTGGGGTGGGGTCAGCCCCTGTTGGCGCTGATGGTGCTATGATTTGCAGGTACTTGATTATCCAAGACAGCCTTCGGCAGCTTCATCAGCGCTGGTAGAATTAACAAGCCGTCTTGATTTTTTCAAGGAAAGGCGTTCCCAACTAATAGAACAGCTTCACAACCTTGATCTGAACTATGGAACATCCTCCCAGGATTTTTTATACAATCCACCACCACCGCCCCCATGGAACTAACCAATGAATGCCTTGTTGTACATCTTAAATTGTTGCATGTAAACTAATTTTACTCTCATCTTTTGGGGATTGTGAAGGTGATTCGAGTTGTATTCAGGATGTTTGAATTTTTGTATGGGATGGTGTATAACAAAAAACCATTAGCCTTGTCAATAGTATAAGGAGCTTGAGAGGTATGTCTGTTTGTATCTGAACGAATGTTTTTAAAGTGAGATTCCCGTTCTTGTTTTGAGCCCCCATTTTATTGTATATTGTCATCATCTCTAAACTACTACATACGTACGAAAAGGTTGTGGCATTGCCAACCCTATCTGTCGGAGTGTTCATTGATAGATTGGGATAGCTCCAAGATGAGTGCTCTAATAATTCGACCACCGTTCATAGAATCAGTCATCTCCCCGATGGCCAAACAATCACTTCCAGTGGCTCAGTAAGAGCATAAAAGGCTACCTATATATGTAGCTAATCATTAATATCTTAGAAACGATAAAATAAAATAAAAATCACGATTAGAGAGAAGCCAAAACCAATTTTTTAAAAACAATAAAGAGGGCAGTGCGAGGACGGTATGAGAAAGAGGACAGTATGAGGAGGCGTCTCTCATCAGCCAAAACCAAATAAAAATCCAAAATTTCTAATACCATCTTCTCTTGTTAAATGGAGCTCAAGAATTTAGTATCTTCTCCGAGGGCTCCTTGAGCTGTGTCCTCGTCCAGATCTGCAAAAATTTACAGTGTAATAATGTTAGGTCCCATAGTACAGCCCCCATTTTGCATTTACACAAGGAAAGAACCTCAAGACAGTTCCATTTTTCAGATAATTGAGCTAAGTTTCAAGATTTGGTTAAGTTCGGCGCTTGGCATTTAGGTCGAGTTGTGCTCAAGTAGGTCATTTCTAGCTTCAGTCATCTTAGACTCAAGTAGTTCAAATTTGGATTGATTCAATTCCAAGGATTAACATGTTCCATGAATTTAACATGTTCTATTTATATATTTTACCAATCAATGCAAATTCAGAAGCATATGACGGATCTAGAAATTAAAAAATGGGGGTCCAAAATTTTAATACCTTATTCTAAAAATATTTGGGTATGCAAATTTTCTTATTTTTTTTCTATTCTTATTAACAAATTAAACTAAATTTAACATTTTTCTCAAAATAATGGGTGTGCAATGGCTCCCCTAGGGAGCCATGTACATCCGCCCTTATTATTAAGAGTGACAAACCTCATATTTTTTCTTTTTAAGGCTCCAGTACTGGGTCCATTGCAAAAGGCCCAATTGACATTGATAGTCTGTGTAAGAAGTTCAGCCCAACCATTGTGGATATGGCATTCTTTGCTTCTTCAAACGCTTCATACTCGATCAGCGCATATCCCTAATTGGAAGCACTGACATTAAATCTTACTTGAACAAAAATACACATTATCAGGAAAACGCTAAACAAAGGCAGGAGTTTGTCAAAGAATAGTCCTTTGTATCATTATCTTCAAACAATAGTCCAATGCTATGAATTAAAAGACATTGACATGCTTCAAGCTAGCTTTAAGTACCAATATAAAATGGTTAGAAGCAAAGAATTGCTTGATATCCTACAGTATAACTGAACCCAAATTCTCTAATACAAATTGAAAACGCAAAATGATAAATATATATTTTTTATACAAAGGAGAATGGGAAAATTAAGACATTATTAACATACAGATAGATAGTCAATATATACAACACACACACACATGCATGCAAGTATGCACATGAATATATAAAAAATAAGCAATGTGAAAGAGTTCCATCACCATAAAGAGAAGAAGTATATCATTGCAAAAAAAAAAAAAAATCAATGGCCAAAATGATAACACCAATTGACCAAGTTAACTACCTTGACAAATCCAGTGCGACGGTTAAGATTTAAATGCAAATTCTTGATCTCTCCAAATTCACCAAATGCATTGCGCAAATCATCCTCTTGTGCTTCCTCATTTACACCACTGACCAAAATAATCCATCCTTCAATAGATGCACATTTATTAATGAGAATAAAGAATCTATATTACTATTGAGAAGAAGAGTTCACGGACATACACTGTTTTTATCTACTATGTTATACAACTTGAGTTGAATTGACATCATGTAGGAAATGAAGGGATGCCCACGACCTTAAAAATTGCAGGATAGATCTAAGATGGTACGGGTTTTGTTCTGAACTAATTTCCACTAAATTTTGATCTGAAATAATTGAGGAACTTTCATATAGCAAAAACTGAGTCTCTTGTCATAATTATCTTGCTTTATGGGCTGCAAAAAATAATAGTAAAATCCTAGAAAATAAAACAAAAGGAAATAATAAAAGTAAAGATGGAAATAAAAAATAGGGTTTAGTGTAGGCACAAACATCTCTCGGGACCGGGCCCCCCGTCAGTGCCGAGAGACTCGAAGTCGCGGGAGGCGAGAAGGGAGTTGCGGTCAGCGTCGTCATCGCGTAAGCCACGGCCCTTGGTCTTCTTAGGGCCAGAAAGAGAGGTGGAAGCGGCGCCAGTGATGGCCGACTTGAGCTTAGGCAGGGGGGCTTGAGGGGAGGCGTCGCCGGAGGCTTCCTCGTCCATGAGGTCGTCGTCCTCCGGTTCAAAATCCAGGGCCTCAACATCACCGCTCGCCATCAGGTGATCTCCACGTGCGTATCTTTTAGAAAATGTATAAATTAGTAGGCTCGTCAGATTCAAAATTCGTGGGTGTGTCGAGGGTCGATCGAGGTTACTACTTTTATTGACTCTGGATCGAAGCCCAATATCCAATTTTAAAGGGTTTTTTTGAAAAAATATTTTAGGAAATAAGACAGATAGAAGTTTATTTTGAGATTTACGATATTTATTATAATATTTATAGAATTTATCACGTTAAAAATATTTTTTAATCAGATGATTCGTTTGATGTAATAAAAAATTTATTTTAATAGAATTCATCACTTTGATAGGATGAATTTAGTAAAAAGATAATTAAATATTTAAAAGGACCAATCGATTGAATATAATAATAATTTATGGTGGAACTTGTCACATATGTTTCTTTGTTTTTTTGTTTTTTAAATTCTTCCATTGTCAAATCAAAATTGAGCTCAAGCAGCTCATGTTATTGAATAGTAAAGTTTATCATGATACGGAGAGTAATTCGTGAGTTTAATCTATTTTTTTAATATATATATATATATATATATAACACTCCAACCCGTACCCGACCCGAATACGAGTCTGAGGTGTCACATTGACTTTTTAAACTTTGACTCTTGAGAAAATTCAAAGAAAATTTAAAACTTTCATTAAAATAAAAACGGTTTATTTACATCAAGCAACCAAAATAACCAAAATCGATCAGAGCATATTCAACTCAATTAATTAGTACATGTCAACTATATTCAAAATAACCAAACACATTTAAATTATTTATTTTCTGATCTGAAATTTTGTAAGGGAGATGCTGACCTGTCTTGCTTTTCTTCGCTTCTTTTCTCGATTATGTACCTACGTGTGAAACAATCACACGCTAAGTCTATGACTTAGTGAGACATAAACAAACTGATTATAGCATATCATAACTAATTCCTATTATGCACATTTCATGTAATCATGATAAACCATAAAATGCATCCAAACAAATATATATATATATCATATACATACATATTGTTTCACAAAGAAATACTCATATCATCACATAATTCTGGTAACATATTTCCTAACACAAAACATATAAAGCGTATGTAGTAAATTTCTCATTATCTCTTTAATAGTCTTATTTTCTTCTTTATCTTTTAGTTATATGTTCTTGTACATATTCTTCTTAACCAAGCTATATACACATCACCATCATATCACATATGTCATTTCACCATAAAGATTACAAACAAAGCACATAATATCATACAATGTTCTTTTATATCATATTCTTTATTAGCTCATGTACACATGTGATAACTATAAATATGTGAGTCTATAGAGGTTGTGCACTAATGCTATCACTACAACTCGTATAAATGCATCGAAGTGCCACGTAGAATTGCACCTAAGTGCCGCGTAGAAATGCACCGAAGTGCTATATAGATGTCCCTAAGGACCACGTAGAAAATTCCTTAAGAATCATATACATATAAAAAGGATCAAGTATGTGTCTCAAAAAACATCACACGTGTTCCAAGGAATACATATATGTCTCGAAGGACCGCGTAGACCCTCGACTCTTGGCATGCCAACTATACCCCTAGCTCTCATGACACATATCATGGGCATTATCTTTTATATCCTTTTTCATATTCATGTAAACATATCACATATTCATATAAACTCGTAGCTTCATTCACATACACATTTAATCACGTAGTTCATGTAAATTCTCATATTATTTCGTATTCATGTATCATATGACATATAACACTTCTCCTGTGTTCCTATAAACATGTCATATCCTATGACTTATATCTTTTCATATAATTTATGCTTTAATCTCTTATATTCACCCGATTTAATATCATTTAACTTGTTTCACTTTCTCATATCACATATACTTTCTCTTTCATATATCTAATGTCCTGTATCATATCTTGTAATCGTGTAAACATGTCTCTTTAATGTAATTTACATAGTAATGCCCTATATTTATATCATATAATGATTTAACCTAAGTCCTCGTTTATAAAGTTTATAATACATGTTCAAATAGTCTCATTCTATCCTATAAATAATTTCTACTTATTTTATCTCATTTCCCCTTTCACTTGCATAATTAATCTATATATACTAATTTAATCTATTTAATTAGTTCAATTTCCCATTACTTCATACATATACTCTTTCATAAAGCTTTGCAGCTCTTCACTTTATAATTCATAACCCATAGTTTCCTTTAACTATATAAATCTTCCCTATATAACTTATGTATCCTTATTTATACATATACCCTCAAATTTATACTATCCTCATAGAGTCTTCTAACCTTTCTCGTGTAATCACCTATACCATATAATATGACTTATACTCGATTATCTTATGTTCACTCGTTCATTTCATTCCTTATGTCTCTATCATATAATTTATTTCATGTTATTCCATTATTACATTTTAGTGTTTTACACAAATCCTATAGCATATACAAAGCATATCAATATCTTTAGTTATGCATACATACAATTAATGTAAAATATATAATCACATATAACACATATAATAATAACAACCACATAATCTCATTCATGACTTCATGCATATTATTCTAGGAAATAGACTCATCGCAAGTCCTATTTCCATTAAACAATACATGTCACTATTATGCACTCACCTTGGCCTCACTAAGTTTCGATCCCCTTTTATGATTTCCTCTCTTTCGATCGAATCTTAACTTGATACTCGTTCCAGAACTTGTTCATATTCAATATCTACATAATCATACATTAATACATATCAGTATCCCATTGATATACTTTAATCTATCATTTCTTAGACCAAAAGAAATGTTTATTTCAATTTCCCCTTAAAGTGCATCGATGCATTCTACAGTGAATCGATGATTCTTTAACATGTGCATCGATGCACTACCCATGCATCGATACACCAATCACCTTCGATGTTTTCATTTTAAGGGGTGCATCGATGCACTAACTGCATTCGATGTTTCCATTTTTAATGGGTGCATCGATGCACTTCCTGTGCATCGATACACTTTGAACAATTTCTGGAAATTTACCCTTGATGCATCAATGTGCACCGATGCACATGGCCCATAATTCATTTTTAAGCCCAAAAATCTACTCAAATCAACTCAAATGCTTCATCTTTCATCCCCTTTCATGTTCTCAACTCATATACACATGTTTAAACCAATTTATATCCATATAAACCATCTTTAACTTCAAAATTCTACTCCTCATATGTAACTCAAGAATTAAACCAACTTTGCAATATGTTTTGATTCCAATTCTATGGCTTCTAACTTCTTAATTAGACCATTGACAAGTCAAATTTAATTTCCAACTCTAGTTATGAACTCTATTTCAAGATTTCACCCAAGAACCTCAAGTCTTTAATCCCTCCTAACTCCATCATACTTTGATTTTAAGATAACTTAAGCTTTCCTTAAGCTTAGTTATCATCTCATAATCAAAACTCAACCTTAAAATCAACAGTTAATCCATAAACAAAGAAACTCACCTTTGAGCTTGGAGATACAGGAGAAGGAAGAAGAAGAAAGAAAACTCTGGATAATTCTCTCATTTCCCACATGGTTCCTTATCTTATAAAAGGAATATAAAAATCTTACTTGTCAATTGACCATTTTACCCTTTAATTCAATCAATAATTACTAAATAACCTTCATCATATTTTCAATAAATCATTGAACTATTCAATTATCCTACTTTAATCACCAATTTCTGAAACTTTACAATTTGGTCACTAACCCGATATTGAGGATGTTACAATATATATATATAATGTTAATAGAATAACTCAATTCAAGCTAAAACTCAATTAAGTTCGAAGTTGAACATGATAATGTGATTTTTTTGGATGGTCAATATGAATCATGAAAGTTTCTAGCCTTGTAAACGAACCGAACGTTCAGCGAATTGTTTGTGAACCGTTCAGCGGAAAATTTGTTTATATTAATTTATTTATTAAATGAACGAACATGAACAATATTTTGTGTTCATTTAATTAATTGAACAAATATGAACAGAGGGTTCATTCGTTCATTTATTTTCGTGAACGTTCACTAATATGTTCGTTCATTTATGTTTGTTTATGTCCGTTCGTTTATGTGCGTTCATTTATGTTTATCCCAATCTCTTTAGACCCATTTAAAATATTAAAGCTCGATAAATTTTAATCTGATACCCATAAATATTTCAAAATTCAATTAATTTTAATTACAAATAAAAAATCTCAAAACAATTAAATAAAATATAATTTTAAAATTGTTAGGAAAGAAAAAAATATTTCCAGTTATGTTCATTTATTGTGTTCGTTTACGTTAGTTCGTTTGTGTTTGTTTAGGTTCGTTTATTATGTTCGTTTATGTTCGTTTACATCCATACGTTTGTTTGTTCATTTGTGTTCGTTTATTATTTAAATTAACAAACATGAACGAACAAGAACAAGCTACATTCCTTAATAAACGAACACGAACAAAAAATTTCTTGTTCGTTTATGTTAGTGTTCGTTCATTTGTTCGGTTAAAGTTAAATAAACGAACATGAACATTCCCCGTTCGTATTCGTTCGATTGTTTACAGGCCTAAAAGTTTCGATTTTTATCTCGTACCAAGCTTTACGTTTTAAGATTAAAATCCAATCAAAATTGAGTTTTGAATTGCAAGCTTCTACTGGGCTCAGTTTACGTCCCTAAAGAGGTGGCTCATTTTTCTCCATCAAACACAATTTAAACCAGTAAAGCAACTAGGATTTTCAGAAGATGAATTCAGCTCTATGGCAAAATTTCTCGAGGTATCTTCAAAAGGAAAAAAAAACGCATAACTAGTCTAGACAAGCATATGCAACTGTAGCCACACCCATAATACAACATAAGCGATGATACCATGGTCTTGAGCCATGACAAACATGCATTACAAGGTCTTCATGTCAGCATGAACTATTAAGCTCCTCACCCCTCAATGCTTGAACATTAACTGATTGAGAATGGGAAGACAAACATAACGTAAAACCACGAATCTACTATGTGTCAGCTGTTTGATGCTCTATCCACCAAATCTCGGCCTTCTTTCTTGCTGCTAAAAAAGCACAATATGCTTTGACATTCAAGAAAGAAAATGCAAGAAACCCCAGAAATCTACGCCTTCAGGCAAGACCTGAAAATTTTAATTTCTCTGGTTAGCCATTGCATACTTTCAAGGTATGATGACAGGATCAACATTTTCCGTTTCGAAAAAAGTTTAGGTCTTCTCAAATCTTAAGGTCAAGCCTTCAAAACATTTCATCAATGTTCTGAAACCGAGTCCCTACCAACCTTACCTTAACAAGGTGACTAAAAACATCAACCACAATGAAAAAAAGGAAAATGCAAACATATTTAGACCAGCAGGTGAGGTTTAATTAAGTACTAACAGCAACAATAATTTACCCAGTGTATAACCACATCGACCATGTGTTTGGAATATATTTACAAATATCTTGAAACGTACCGGGACACTTCTCATTGAAATTTTTCCAATAGTTTACATTTTTGTTTCTTTTTTGGATATATGTCTCAGTTTGGTTTTAGCTAGTATACTGGAAAAGACTTCAGTCAAAACTCTGGCTTATTGGTCAAAGCATTTCATGATATATTACATAAATGTTAAATGGGATATTCTTAAATTGTTAATTTAATTGCAAAGAATCTGATAACTGAAACCCTTGCACCCAAAATGCCATCCTACTGTAGAGTACTCATTTTCAAAAACTGAGAAAGATGGTATAGTTTAACCAATTTGTCACTGTCTACATAAGAACAAGTTAGATAAAGTTCGAAAACTCACTGACACATAAACCAATCAAACATTTTCCGCAACTCTGACATTGTTAGTCTTCATCATTAAGGTCACTAATTATCTCCTCACTTATAGTTCACGTAGTCTAGCTAGTAGCTACTGACTCATTTGCCAATTGGAGGCTGAAAGATTTTTAGCAATACAATAAAAGTTTGCTTATTTCATAATTTCATTCATTTTACTTCAGAAGAACAATCAAACTTGAAGAATAAATACCAGATATCTTGGTTCAAAGTTCTCTTGTCATTGGTTGAAATAGTTAACAGTCGGGTCTTCCAGATATCACTTTAAAGTCCTTTTAATGCCAAGGTAAAATTGATGCCAGTTTAGAAGTTATGAAATGAATTTGATATGTAAGAAATAAAACAGAAACATACTAGGAATTAGAACATCCAATTGCTTCAACTGAACATAAATCTTTTTCATTTAAAATGTTTCAACCATAAAAGGGATTAGAACATACCAATAATACACAGCCAATGTTGATGTTGTCAGGAACCTTCTGTGGCAGTCTTCTCTGTGATTGCATCTCAATTTGTCAGTCATAACTCGTGAACACAATAGAGCAGCCGAAAGAAGCTAAATAAAACATGTGACCAGTCGTAAAGTACTTCTAAAATAGACATATATCCTTCATCTAGGCAAAATACTACTCAAACAAATAACAACTTACCCAAGCTACCTGTAGTTTTGACAAGTAAACAACCAGTAACAGCAATATCGCCAACTAATATTAAAAATAATAATCACAAAACCCATCTCCTTTGAGTGATTTCTAAGCTATTTTACCCAGATTCTTCATTCCCCCCCCCCTTTAGTGCCAATATATAACACCTTTGTTAGGCCCATGTTTGAGCATAGGTATGGGGCTATGATTGATATAAGAAAAATTTAGAAAAAAATTGGGTATGCCTGTGTTCGATACATGTTATGTCCCTATTCGACACTCATTTCCAAGTCCGCTAACACAAGGTTTGCTTATATAAAGCCCATCCGTTGGCATATGACACACTAAACAAATTTAATCTGTTGGTTAACACATATTCAGGAGATAAAATAGAGTGAATTCCAGAGCAAGGACCATAAACATGCTTGCCCAACCGCTAATCGTCACCATTCCTCAAAATTTTCAAAAAACGACACTGATCAAACTATTGTACGACGTCAATGAGTTTAAATAAACCCAATAAGAGAGCGGTGAAAAGGTCAGTTACCGTGTTGCAATCCCACGGATATCATTCGGTCTATATTATCGATACGCCGCTGAATGGATTTCAAAAGCAAATTCAAAGAGGAAACTCTCTTTCTGACATTAGAAAACTTGACAGCATGCTGAATTATGAATAGTAACGGAGCATCTTCTAGTAATTGATCAAGCTCTGTTGATCAGAAAACAATTTTATCTTATGTCGATATTCAATTTAACCAGAAAAAAAAAAACAAAAGGGGGAAATTAACCTCGGGTAAGACGATCGACTGAGGAAATAAGGAGGTCTTGACTGGCGAGAGTGTCGTGGGCTTTAGAATCGAAATCTTTGACGAGAGAAGTAAGCATGAAGGATAGCGCTTTGGCTAAAGCATCGGTGCTGGGATCATCGTTGGATGAAGAATCAGGGTTTGGGGTTGGATTCGTTGAGGAATCGGAAGGGATTGGTTGGTCTGAACCGCCGCTAACGGTGGCGTCGTTGTGATCTGAACCCTGGTTTTGGCTTTCCATTTTTCTTAGTTTTTTTAAGCAATTATCGAGACTACTTTGGACTCGTATAATATCAGACTTGTGAACATTGCTACTAGGAATGGCTGAATAGCATGGGTTAAAATGCAAATAACTTGCCCACAAGTATATGAATGATACTAATTATAGAGTATTGTTTTATTGAATCATTTAATTATTAAAAGTTATAAATTAATTTTTTATTATAGGACGTTGTTTTGTTTAATTATACAGTTATTAAAAATGATAAAATGATCATCCGACTGTTCACATGTTCTAAAATATGATATTATAATCGTTTGAATTGTATTTTGTGGATCAACTCTACGTTTACAATAAGGGTGTTCAAATTCGAATATCTGGGTCTTCGAGTAATTGATTGGTCGACCCGAGTCCCGACCCTGATGTTACGGGTACCCGAATTTTGTAGGTACTCGTAATTTGGGTATTCAATACCCGATTTTTTATAATTTTCAAAATTTTAATTAAAAAAATCATATCGCCTATATTATTAAACAAAATATTATATTAATTATTAAATTGGGTGAGTGGGTTTTTTTTTAATTTATTAGTTTAATTTAATATATAAAATTATTAATAATTAAATATGTAATATTATTATATATAAAGAAATAAATGTTATCGGGTAGGCGGATAATCAGGTACTTGGAAAAATGTAATTTTATCACTCGAGTCCGATCCGAAAAATGTCGGGTTGGGTACTTTTTATAGATAATTACCCAAATTTTTTTTAGTTAGGGTCGTCGGGTTAACAAGGTCAGGTCAACTGGATCGGGTATTTTTGAACATCCCTAGTTTATATTATACATCGAGCTAGTGTCAGCGAGTAGGTACTTGAAAGCAACGACAGTGACAATAAACATCATTAAATTATACGTCGAACTACTTCTTGAAATATTTTGTCGACGAGTCAGTACTTGAAAGCAACGCCGGTACCAATAAACATCATTAAAATATGATTTTATAACATCTCACTCAACAAGTTAATGTCCAATTCAAATGGTCATCATTAAATTATACGTCGAGCTAGTGCTTGAAATATTATATCGACTGTCGGTACTTAATAGCAATGACGGTGCCAATAAACATCATTAAAATATGATTTTATAACATCTCAGTCAACAAATTAACGTCCAGTTCAAATGGTCGTCATTAAATTCTATGTCGAGTTCATGCTTGAAATATTATATAGACGAGTCGGTACTTAAAAGCAACGATGGTGCCAATAAGCATCATTAACATATAATTTTATAACATCTCAGTCAATAAGTTAACGTTCAGTTTAAATAATCGTCAATTTTAATGTAAAATCATATTTTAATAATTTATATAATTATTTACAATTATTTAGAATAATTAATTCTAAAAGAATAATTATTTATAATTAAATTTTTTCTATAGTTTTATATATTATTTTAGAATATTATAAAAAAATCCCTTTTTTTAGGCTGGCTGCTATAAATATTAGTAACGAAAGTAGTAAAGGAGACGAGGAAAGTCCATAAACGCATAATTCTTGGTTTCACCATATTTAATTCCTGAAACAGTAATCAATTAATTAGCTTGCTGGCTCGCTATAAAAATGTAGGGGAAGCAATGAAGTTCACTTGCAGCAGGTAAATACGACCCGAGAATGACTACGGTTATTTCACCAAAGCAATTCTCTCCTGTTGAAGATGCAGAAATTATCAAGAAGGCTTGTCAAGGTTCCACGTTCATCCGTTAACTTCTAATTTATAGGACACATTAATCTACGTCTCCAATTGATGTGGGATATCTTCAATTTTCAGGATGGGGAACGGATGAGAAAGCCATAATTTCGATACTCGGACATCGGAATTTATTTCAGAGGAGGCTTGTTAGACTAGCTTTTCAAGAGATTTATCATCAAGATCTCCTCCAGCAGCTCAAATGCGAGCTCTCCGGAGACTTGGAGGTTCATGTTTCGTTTCGGAAAACTAACTTTTATGATTCGAATCGATGCGTTTTTTAATGACATTTTTTTTTTCTGGATACAGAGAGCTATAAGTCTATGGACTCTGGATCCTGCAGACCGAGATGCTGTTTTAGCCAATGAAGCTTTGCACAAAAGCGTTGTTGATTATAGAGTAATTATTGAAATTGCATGTAGCAGATCCCCTGAAGATCTCCTGGCAGTGAAACGTGCTTATAAGTTTCGATACAAGCGGTCCCTCGAAGAAGACCTTGCTTCTTGCACCGCCGGTGATCTTCGAAAAGTACGTTTTAACTGCAATATTCGACCTCATATTTTCGTAATCATGTGACATATACTATGCCGAACTCGGTTCTTGTGTCATATTGCAGCTTTTGGTGGGGATAATAAGTGCATACAGATATGATGGGGATGAGTTTGATGAGACGCTGGCACATTCTGAGGCCACCATTCTCAATCATGAGATCCATGGAACGGGATTCCACCAAGAGGAAGTGATCCGAATCGTGAGCACAAGGAGTCAAGCACAAGTCAATGCAACATTCAACGTCTACAAAGACATCTTTGGTCGTTCCATCACAAAGGTACAATACCCTAATCATCATTTGCAAAGATTACAGGCTTAATCTGTTGTTTTAACCCCCATACTGTAAGCTATATTATGCATTGATCGATCAGCTCGGTTCCATTTTCGCATGTTTTAAAGGCTTTCCCGGGCGGTGACTATTTCTCTACGCTGCGCATTGTGATCCGTTGCATTCGAGGCCCTCAAACGTACTTTGCAAAGGTAGGGCAGTGAATTTAATTGTAATTACGGACATGTACCGTACGTAAGATGCAGGTGTTTGACGCGTACAGTGATGCAGGTGTTGCGAGCGGCCATCAACACGGCCGGCACGGATGAAGACGGTCTGAGTCGGGTGATCATCACACGCGCGGAGAAGGACTTGAAGGAGATAAAGGAAATTTATCTGAAGAGAAACAGTGTGTCGCTTGATGAAGCGGTTGGAAGAGACTGTTCTGGGGACTACAAGGACTTTATTCTAACCTTATTAGGGGCCGACCAAAGTTGAAGATGAAGCTCTTTACCAAGTTTTTTGTTTTCTGATCTTAGGTAGACAAATAAATATGTTGTTTTTTTTAAATCTTTATGCATAGCCAATCACTAGGAACCACGTGGCCATCTGCATCTATTATCAAAATTCATTTTGGATGTCATATTTACTTATATTTTAATAAAAAAATGTTGGTATCTATATTAAACAGAATGTCTAATGAAATATTTGTGCTTTTAAAATGTTCAACGTATTATATGTTCTTTATAAAAGTGTTCAACATATTTTTTTATTATTATAATACTTAATGTTCATACTATTAATGTTAAAATCAACCAATGAAAGTGCATGTAAATACCATAAACATTATATGAAAAATATAATTTTATATTAAAAAATATATATATATATATATAGCACTGAATATTTTAAAGATATATATATATATATTTAAAGATTACAACATAGCACAAAAATAATGGATATCAACAGTTCAGCATCAATCAAGCAAGCTTACTCTCACTATGCTTTCCAAATTCAACATCCACTCAGCTTCTATAATTTCCTATTTTCATACCGTTCGCCATTCAAATCAGCCTTAAGACGATGGTTACCAGTTAAAAGATGAGACTTATTAGGGGAAATAGTTCGACACCTGTACGAACTGCTGGCATTATTGAACTGAGCTTTCCACAACGAGTGATGGGTCTACCTTCATTCTCAGGCCTTTTCCATATGCAACAATAAGCAGAGCCTCAGCCCTTCCTTAAAAAGCTCAAAAGAAAGCAGAAGCCGATGAGAATAATCAAGTTAGAAGATGTCAGTAAGAGAAGATACATAAACACAATACAATGCCATGCTTAAATCAAACTTTATCTTCCAATCTCGGGACAAAACTCAATTTACAACCAGAAAGATCATTTGCTAAGAGTAGCAAATAATGAGGAGCATGTGATCCAAGATGCTCAATTAATGTACGAGAAAGATGTTTGGTGGCGACGTATATATTTATGGTTCAGTTTTTGTTTCTTCTACAGGCTGTATTTTTTCAGTTGTAAAACACAGGGAATGGTCAGTCACCAGATTCTAAGGTCTATGAGGATGAGAAAGTAGTTGCACTAACTTTTTCATCTCCACAATTAGCACAGTCGTAAAAGAAAATACACTGGTTCATAGTTCAACATGATTATTTGTCAAAAGGGTTTTCTTAGTAGCATCAACCAACAAGTCAATAAGTGACAGGTTTATTCTAGCACGTGATCACGAACAAGGAGGAAAACAAAGAGTCACATAGCTTCAACCACTAAGAGCTTATAAGCAATTTCCTGATAAAAAAGTGAGATTAATGTCTGCCGTAATCGGTTTTCGTCTGGGCACAAAATTTTTACTCGGCGAGAAAAGTGATGTAAATAAATGATTTTTTAAAATGTTTTGGGAGTCGCCATCGGCCTTTTGGGTCAGGAAGGTCGAATACCTAAAAATTATCTTTTAAAAGAGTTTTTAAGAAAACATTAGTTAAAAGATAAATTGATCTGTTTTTTAACCAAAGATTCGTTTTTTTAATAATAAAAAGGGATTCGTGATCAATTACGTTTGGGGAAGGATTAGTACCCCCACAACGCCCAAAATTGGTACTTATTAATTATAAATTGTCTTTATTATTAAAAATTTAAAAATTTAAAAATAGATTTAATTTATAATCCTGTTATTTCAAATTTATTAATATAAGAAAATCTAGGTGTTTTAACATAATCCTGTTATATATATAAATAAGATATTTATTTATTTAGAAATATCATAAAAGAACTTCTAGGTGCTTTAAGACAACTCTTTTCTTAATATAAAATAAATAAATAAATATTAAATCATTTATTTAAAAAATAGATATAATTTATAAAAGTAAGATATTTATTTATTTAAGAATATTAGAAAAATACTTCTAAGTGCTTTAAGACAACCAATTTCTTAATATTAAAAAAATATATAAATATTAAAATATGATTATTTTTCTAAGAAAATAATTTAAATAAAACAATATGTATTTTTTTTATTTTTATAAGTAAGATATTTATTTATTTAAAATACCAGAACAAAACATCTAGTTGCTTTAAGACTGCCCTTTTCTTTGATATTAAAAATAAATAAATATTATTATTTAAACAAATATATATATATACATACATATATATATATATATATATATATATATATATATATATATTTATAAGACTAAGATAAAAATAATAATAATAAAAGTAATAATTAAAATATATTAAAAGTAATAATAAAATAATATTACAAATAAATAATGAATAAAATTATAATTATAATTATAATATAAACACACTTTAACGTTAATAAAATACCATATGTCAATCTTTGTAAATGTATAGAATAAATACTAAAAGAAATTTATATTTTAATAAATAGTAATATAATAAAGTCAAATAGTATTAATGTCTATTATAATTAAAATGGATGAAATAGAAAGTAAATTTAAGATACCAATTATAAATAAATGCAAAGAAAATTAAAGTAAGGAAAAAATAAAGTCAAAGATACAAACATCAAGGTTATAAGTAATTAAGGAAAATGAAACATTAAAGGTGAATTAATCCTTTATGAATAGTTAATTGACAACAAAGTTGGGAAAGTATTAAAAATAATTAAAACAATTAAATCATATTCATAAATACATAAAATTCATAGTCAACGTTAAGAATTATAAAAATTAGTGATTAATTTATAAAAGTTCAAAATTAATGAACATATTTAATAATATCATAAAATATAAATATTAATATTGTAATTTAGCCATGAAAACTTAATACAAGATTAAAATAAAATTACTAAAACTATAAGGGATTGCATAAATTATTTTACCCTAAACATTTATTAATACTCAATAGTGACTAAAATATAAATGAAACAAAATTATAATGCATGAACACATACTGTAATGACTAAAATGAAATTTTGCAAAACATAAAGGATTGCGGGAAGGATTTCTCAATGTTGGAAATTACACATACGCCCCTCCCCAAAACGACGTCATTTGGGGGAGGGTATTTAAACCCTTTAACCGACCCAAAATCCCTTCATCTATCTCATTTCCTCATTTCTTTTCTCTCACTAAACGAAAGAACCAGAGTTCTCTGCCCTCTCTCTAGCTTCCCTCGCCGGAGGGAATTCCGGCAACCAACGACCACCGTACGCCGGCTCTGATCACCGTACGGTGGCTGGAATTTAGAAAATTAACCCAAATCGAAGATCATTTTCCCTTAAAACCGAATCATACCTTATTTCTCCCTAAAAACCACTAGACCGACTTAAATCTAAAAAATAACTGAAGATTTTACCTTCGGTTTAACAGAGATTTTTGATAACGTTTGGGCTCCGACGACATTTGGTAAATTCCTCTCTCTTCTATTGGTTGGTTATTGGTTGCTATTGTTGTTGTTTGCTTGTTGTTGTCGTCTCTTCCTCTGTTCTTGCCCTCTGTCTCTCTGTCTTTGCTCGCTGTGTCCTCCTCCCTTTTATTTTGTAGGTTCAGTGGCTTTATAGCCACCACCGAGTCTCGCCTTGAACCGATCACAAGGGATGACCCTCGGTGAGTCACCGAACTATGGTGGTGACTCACCATAGGGTAACAACGTGGATGGCATTTTTGAGTCTTCTAGAGGCTTCAACTAGGCGTGGCAGTAGCAGCGGCGTCAACGTGGGGCGGCTGACCGTCGGCAGTAGCTGGTTGGACCAAATGGCTTGGGAGTCGTCGGCAGAGGCGGCGGCTGGCCTTCTAGAAGCATCAGAGGTGGCTGGGTGATGAGATGTTAGTAGAAACCCTAAATAGGTTTAGGGTTTCTATTAGGCCAATTGTAAATGGGCCTTGTAAATGGGCTTAGGGTCGTGGGCTTCTGATGTATTTTGTAATATATATATATATATATATTAATAATAATAATAATATAATAATAATAATAATAATAAAACGAAATGAAAAATTTAGTGTTTACAGCTGCCCTTCTTTGCTCATTTTTATGTTAACAAGAATAAAGCAAAGACGAAAAAACAATAATTTTTTCATTTGGCTTCTTTTGAGTAGGATGGAAATGTTGAAAACATCATGCACCGAAGGACTTACAGATTACCCAAAGGTTTTGAAAACATCATGCACTGAAGGGCTTACAGATAACCTGAAGGTTTTTTGAAAACATCATGCACTGAAGGGCCTACAGATGACCCGAAGGTTTTTGAAAACATCATGCACTGAAGGACTTACAGATAACCCGAAGGTTTTTGAAAACATCATGCACTGAAGGACTTACAGATGACCCGAAGGTTTTTGAAAACATCATGCACTGAAGGACTTACAGATGACCCGAAGGTTTTTGAAAACATCATGCACTGAAGGACTTACAGATGGCCCGAAGGTTTTTGAAAGCATCATGCACTAAAAGACTTACAGATGACCCGAAGGTTTTTGAAAATATCATGCACTGAAGGACTTACAGATGACCCAAAGGTTTTTGAAAACATCATGCACTGAAGGACTTACAGATGACCCGAAGGTTTTTGAAAACATCATGCACTGAAGGACTTACAGATGACCCGAAGGTTTTTGAAAACATCATGCACTGAAGGACTTACAGATGACCCGAAGGTTTTTGAAAACATCATGCACTGAAGGACTTACAGATGACCTGAAGGTTTTTGAAACATCATGCACTGAAGGACTTACAGATGACCCGAAGGTTTTTGAAAACATCATGCACTGAAGGACTTACAGATGACCTGAAGGTTTTTGAAAACATCATGCACTGAAGGGCTTACAGATGACCCAAAGGTTTTTGAAAACATCATGCACTGAAAGACTTACAGATGACCTGAAGGTTTTTGAAAACATCATGCACTGAAGGGCTTACAGATAACCTGAAGGTTTTTTGAAAACATCATGCACTGAAGGACTTACAGATGACCCGAAGGTTTTTGAAAACATCATGCACTGAAGGACTTACAGATAACCCGAAGGTTTTTGAAAACATCATGCACTGAAGGACTTACAGATGACCCGAAGGTTTTTGAAAACATCATGCACTGAAGGACTTACAGATGACCCGAA